ATCCACTTCCTTACGTCGTTCATGCTTCATTGTTCGACTTAGAAGAGTATCCAGTAGGAGGACTTCTTCTTGTTGGATGTCTACAACGCATAAGTACCAATGTTTTTGGCCGTCGTAAATGGGGAAATAGATCTACATAAGCCAATTGCAGTCAGTACACTATGGTGACGTACATAATTTGATAGATTAAAATATTTTAATGCAGAATTTGTTGTGAGTTTTTATCCAGTCAAACCTTCACACACATGTCAATGTCCTGGATGTATCGACCACACAATCTCATGAGTTTTCATTGCATGATCACACTAGTGTTCCCCTCAGATGTAAAGTGAATGACTGTTTGCTACAATTTAAGGATTTATGAAATTATAAAGACGTAACTTCATATTGAACATTAAGACACAATATGACCACAATGATAGAAGAAAATCACATAAAACCAAAAATTTATTGTGGAATATTACAGCAAACCGCATCGAAATATACCACTTGGCCTTCTGTGTGTCGTTGTTCCCCATATCTATTTGTGGCATAATGCATGCAGCGACATTGATTAACTGTGTACAAAATTATATATATTTAGAATTGCAGACATTTAATCCATTGCCAATTAATTCAAAAGTGGGTATAGTTATATGGGAAAATTATATAACTCACCTCGCTTAGCAACCATTGTGTAGGTCCCAATGACTTCATTGTCATTCTTGTTGCATGAAAGTTTTCAAACTAAACAATCGTCTTACTGTCAAATTAAAACATGTAAGGTATGATTTGCATAAGAACTGCAAATAATAAACACCCTGTAATGGTAATAATTATGACATACTCTGCATCAAATCACTCATGAAAAATGTAGTTCAATATTGCATTTCCTACTTCATCACTAACATCAGTAATATGGGGAACCAACCCATCAACAACCTGAAAGTGGAGTGCTTGCCATTTTAGGTCCATGTGCACTAAAAAATTTAATTGGTTTAAAGTTATGTGTAAAATAACCTCATTGGTGCTGTCAGCCTGGACCTCGCTTTCATTGTCATCGAATAATCCTTGGTTCACATTTTACACCACATAAAATATAAAAAGTAGCACACACAAGTACTATAGTAAAGGACAACACAGTAATGTAGTGTACTCACGTGGACAGACTCCTTTGTAGGTTGTTCTCTCCCAATTTTACATACCTTTTCAGAAAGTGTTTTCAGCATATTTTTAATTTCAGTTACTTCAACTGTGAACTTGGCAGACAATGCTTCATGGTCCGACCGAAATTCAGACAATTCAACCTCAACCTTAGACAATCTCTTGTCAAAATCCTACATAACACATTGAAGTGGCACTCATGGAAAATATTAATAATAATGATTTGCATTGTTCTACCTCCATATATATCCTACATAAAGGTAACCTGCATGTTTAAGCATAAGAGATGCCTGTTGTCCTCACTTTACTCCTCGCATCAGTGACAAGAACACTTACTAAATGTTCAAATGTTGTCCTCTCACTGCGTCCATCATATTGGTCAGGAACAGTCAGTGACTCTTCAACTATAACCATGAGCTACGATAGTCTAAATATTAGTTAATACCATATAATATATAAAGAATATCTTCCATTATGAATAGAGCAAACAATAAAGCTAGAATTAAAGAGTATAATATCCTTCATAAGTTACTCCTTTTTTTTTTTGTAGCCACCCAATTTTTTCAATCCAATCATGCGCTGGCCTATTTCTTTGTCCCCCCAAACTACCATCCGAGGGAATGACCGTGACAGAAATGGAATGTATGATTCTCTCGGTGGTGTCACATGCTCAAAATAGAAAATCTGCAAATGGATAAAGTTCAAGTAATTACTACAACTGGCATGAATAAGAAAGCAGTACAATGAATAAGCAAATAAGTAAATAAAGCAATACCTCTAGCACAATGATACAACCACAAATATTACAACTTGATTTTTCCTTGAAATTTCGTATGCCTTCAATAATACCATCATAAACCAGTTTATAGAAGATAATGTATTTACATCCACACGGGGCTTGGCGTACGAACTATTAATTATCATTTTCATGGTTGGGGAAAAAAGTCGGCCTATTATGAATAGAACAAATAGGTGCCTAAAAGTAAATGAATCATGCTTCAATTCTTTTAGTTTATCAATCAAAGTATTCAATGAGAGCACCCTCAATTCATTAAAAATTTATTTTTGAAGTTCCTTTGTTTGGTCCGAAGAACCTGCAATGTCCAACTCACTACTTGGGTTTGCCAACCCCATTATGTAATAAACATCCTCAGGGGAGAACTTAATTCATTTACCATGGAAATGTAACACAGCCGTAGCGGGATCAAATTTTTTCACCAACCACTCGCATAAGCTCCTTTTGACCACAGTGCATTTCATGGTGGTCAACCCTTCTAAACGGCATTCACTACACGTTTCTGAGCGTCAGTTAACCCATTTACAACTTTTATGATATTGGATGGCNTTAGCAAATAAGTAAATAAAGCAATACCTCTAGCACAATGATACAACCACCAATATTACAACTTGATTTTTCCTTGAAATTTCGTATGCCTTCAATAATACCATCATAAACCAATTTATAGAAGATAATGTATTTACATCCACACGGGGCTTGGCGTCCGAACTATTAATTATCATTTTCATGGTTGGGGAAAAAAGTCGGCCTATTATGAATAGAGCAAATAGGTGCCTAAAAGTAAATGAATCATGCTTCAATTCTTTTAGTTTATCAATCAAAGTATTCAATGAGAGCACCCTCAATTCATTAAAAATTTATTTTTGAAGTTCCTTTGTTTGGTCCGAAGAACCTGCAATGTCCAACTCACTACTTGGGTTTGCCAACCCCATTATGTAATAAACATCCTCAGGGGAGAACTTAATTCATTTACCATGGAAATGTAACACAGCCGTAGCGGGATCAAATTTTTTCACCAACCACTCGCATAAGCTCCTTTTGACCACAGTGCATTTCATGGTGGTCAACCCTTCTAAACGGCATTCACTACACGTTTCTGGGCGTCAGTTAACCCATTTACAACTTTTATGATATTGGATGGCGAACAACGTGTACCCATTAGTATCTGAATACAGATGTAATGCATCAAACAAAGATATAAAAACATATAAGTTATGTTACAATGCAGAGATGGTCCATGTAGTAAATGTGTTCATATTACATACCTTTCGTTTCCTCTTCGCAATAACACCCGAATTGCCACCTTGCGAAGATGCAGTGGCTACCGTCTTGTCAGCCATAATATTCCCCACTTCAACATTCGCTTTCCTCTTCATGGTCCAAATGTGCATATACCATACAAATATCAACAAACAAAAAAAATGGAGGCAATTAGTAAGAGAATTTAAATAATAGAGAGAAATAGAGATACAAAAATGGATAGATAGAGAGAAACAGAAGTGCAGGAAAGATGCGAATTGGATTCAATTAATCTCCCTACAACCATATTCAATTTTACTCAGGTATATAACATGTTTTGTAATAACTAGTTGATGTACACGTGCGTTGCACGTGAACTGTATTAAATAGTAAATCATATATATTAAAGTCATGAATCACAATTCAAAAAATTCACTTGTTTNTAATGTACACGTGCGTTGCACATGAACTGTATTAAATAGTAAATCATATATATTAAAGTCATGAATCACAATTCAAAAAATTCACTTATTTGGTAAAGATCGATAAATAATTAGCGAATAACCACTAAACCCTATAAAAATACTATAGAAATTAAAATTTAAAGTTAGGTCAAATACATCATTCTTGATTCCATCCCTATATTTTGTGTCTAATAAAGTAAGCACATTTACAAGATTCTTTATAGCAATGACAATGAATTACCATTTAATATTTGTGAATCTTTTTTCCCTTTGGTATTCTTTATTTTCTCTTCTAAGCTAGTGTGTACAAGCCCAAAAAGTTACTAATTGGTTTGGGATAAAAAAAAAATTAACAAATCAAATTCTAGAGCAACATCAAAAATTAAAAAACTAATAATACAAGTACCAGTCAAAAGATTTTGTTTTTGGTTAGTAAATAGATAAACTAAATTAATCTAGAGATATTCCCGATAATATTCCCGATAATACAAAACTTCATTGAAACGAAAATATCTAATTGAAAAAATGTAATGAATTGTCATAAGACAGCTAAAAAATAAAATTAATCAAACAACTAATTAACTACCATGTAATTCTTAAGTACATATAGAGAGATTGTAAATGAATCCTCTCTCTCTGCCTTTCTATATGTATATGATGTGTGTGTGTTGATAGGTTTTGTTGTAGTGGTAGGCAAAATTTTCCATAACAACTGCACTAATATCAGAAGTGCACCAAACACAATAAAGTAGCTCAATTTTCACAAGGAATAATTACGTATTTGATGGAGATTACACAACTTTCGTGCTTGTACATACAAATATGCATGTATATATCAAATCTCTAACTCACATTATCAATTAAACAAAACATTGACACAACCAAAATTACTCACTTGCTTCCAAGGCTCTTCAGACAGAAATATTGGAGTCACTGATATGTAATTTGATGCCTCAGCTTAAACTGATGAAACAACAAATGCTCTAAAATCTCTTTTGCAAGAACCTAACCACTCCAAAATTTGCAACATAGCATTCCTTCTACCTACACTAAAGTATTACAGGGAATTAACAATGCTCGTGTGCAAATTGATTTTGGTCCATTGTTTTCTAAAAAATTTTGCATCTCGCAAACTTGATCGTCAGATGTCAACTCAACATGGACACTTTTCAATTGATCAATCAAATTAAGGAATGTAACTAACACAAAAATAAGGTACAATAAGTTCGTCTTATGTGATATTATTAAAATCATAGAATCAATGAGAATATCATAAGTCATACACAAAGCTATAGTATACCCTAACCATGTTTGTATTTCTTTGCTCGATCATGAATGAAAAAGCTATAATATTCCCCATACAAACCACAAATAGTTTAAATCCTCACCATATTCACCCCCAAGTATTGCAGCAAGCAAATCTCACCAATTACTAAACCAAAACACATCTAAACATGGTAAAATTTATCAAAATCCAAATTCATCTTGAAATTCCACAAATCAACCTAAATTCAACATGCCAACTTCAAATTGACTTCCAAAAATTAATGTATAAACAAACCAACACAAATTAATCAAAAAACCTAATTTTTCCTCAACGAAAATCCCAAAACAGCTAGTTGCAAACATACTTGAGAACCCAGTTTCAATTATCTAAACTATTTTGTAACACACCTAAAATGCCTAAGAAGCCTTGGTTGACATCAANTGAACCCAAAACAGCCAGTTGCAAACATATTTGAGAACCCAGTTTCAATTATCTAAACTATTTTGTAACACACCTAAAATGCCTAAGAAGCTTTGGTTGACATCAACATTTACAAATCTGGGTTTAGGTCCAATAGACACCAAACCCTAAAGGGTGGAGTTTGCGTGGTGGTGGGGGAGTGGATGGGGGGGATGATGGCTGTGATAGTGGTGTGGGGCTATGGTGATGGCAGACTGTGGAGAAAGAGAGAGCGAGAGAGATATACCTGTGAAAGAGTCCTGGCGTTTCCAAAGTGGATCTGTTAGTGGGTTNGGAAGTGGATGGGGGGGGATGATGGCTGTGATAGTGGTGTAGGGCTATGGTGATGGCAGACTGTGGAGAAAGAGAGAGCGAGAGAGATATACCTGTGAAAGAGTCCTGGCGTTTCCAAAGTGGATCTGTTAGTGGGTTTCCGGAGTAGGTTGGCGTGGTGGTGGGGGGAGAGGATGAAGGGGTGGTGGTTTTGATAGTGGTGTGGGGCTGTGGTGATGGCATCTCATCGTTGCCGGAGTGGGTTGTGTGGTGGTGGGGGAGAAAGACCTGGGAGGGGGTGGTGGTGTAGAGAGAAAAGGGTTAACAGAGAGATAGAGAGAAATACAGAAAAAGGGGGAGAGAAACTAATGGGAAATTTCTAGCAGGTGTGGGTGGGCGGGAGTTCTGTTTTAATGGAGTCAATTTACAAGAAGAAGTCAAAATTAATTTTGAACCCGCATGTGTTAACCCGATGTACGTCTAACCCGTGTAATCAAAAATTGGTTATGGACGATCCTAATTTTATGACCTGACCAACCCAACAGATGCATCTTAATTGCCATTAAATTACTTCATTCAATTAAGAAGTACATATCCCAACTACCAAATAATCTATTTATCATTTTTTTTAAACTACATCCAAAAAATTTCCTAAAGAAGTCAACATACCCATGTTCTTTAAAACACTACCAGTGTAGGAAAGATGTGTATTGGATTCAATTGATCTCCCTACAACTATACATCATTTTATTCAGGTATCAAACCTTTTGTAATAATGTGCGTACTATAATTGTGGTATTTATGCAATAGTTTGTTTATTAATAAATTATAGAAGAACTATATTGCGGATAATATATGCAATATTGTATTGAGTCAATCAAAAGGTATTTGGCATTATCGGATAAAAATCGTG